TGACCTTAACGAAATGAGATGGCAGACGTGACGTTTACATTTATTCTAGAACAGAAGTTACATAAGTTTGTTTGTATCGTTGAAAATGTCCTTGGTTGAGCAATGCACAGATGTGAAATTCTGTGTTTTACTTGAGAAGTCACGATCAGTGACAGTAAGTTTAAAAAAATTAATAAATAGAAAAAAAAAAAAAAGCATACGTTAATACCTCAATATCGAAATTCGCAAGTGTTTTAGTGGCACAGGCAATTTCGCGAAGGATGCGTTAGTGTTGATGATAAACCTAGTAGGTGACCGCCAACCGCTGTAAAAAGCTAAAATATTGCTCGTGTTAGGAACATGTTTCCCGCGGACAGAAGCCTTGGTCTCAAGAAAATAGCCTTAGAAGTTGGAATATCAGTTGGAAGTTGCCACAGTATTCTCCCCACCTGGCACCGGTTGATTGTTTCTTGTTGGTCCCTCGCCTTAAATGGCAACTGAATGGTCAGCGAGGGAGGCTGAGGGCGGTGTCACTAATGCGATAGAGAAAGAGTTGTCGAAGAACTGGTTCCAGGACTGTTACCAACTGTAGGAACGTTGATAAAAGTGTGTATATTACGACATGCTTGGGACAGTAGGCCGATTCTTTTCCCCTCCAGAATGAGGCACAAGAATTCACACAAGGAGACCCTTGCTACTAAACGGCGGTTCGACGCTCATACATAGCGTTGTAAAAATCAACGCAGACCGACACGAAGTTTACAATTGGGATACGTAGACTTGTATTTTCTATTTCAGTATTGAGGATACAGGCTATCAATTATTTTTTGTAATTAAATATTGCAAAGCTTATTTTTGAAATGTTTACTACTGTAGGAGTACACTGTTATATTGTTAATTTTAATATATTTGAAAGGTACCTTTAAGACATTTTGGTAATTATGTTACGTAATCTATCATGGCGGAAATTTCAAGTTATCCGGGATACCATTATCATGTCTTATAAAATGGGTGGAGTCACCGAGGATATCTCGTCTGATAAAAGTTAGTTTCATTTTTGTGCCAGGATACTCTGGGATAAGAGAGAACGAACGAACGGATTGGCTTGCTGGCATGGCCACGATAGATACAAGAAAAGCAATGCAACGACCAGAAGATGATTCAGGTGATGACGTTGAATCGGCAACACTCAAAAGACTACGAGAATTTCAGGTCAAAAAAGGTGTCGCTAAACATGAACACTATATAGGTAGCCAAAGAAGAATAGTAAACCAACACAGAATTGGTGTTATCAGTAGCCACACGCTAAGGTATAACTTGAAGATGGTATCTAAGCACTTATGGACTTGTCCGATGTGCAGTGAGGATAATATGGCGTTTAACTAACTTACTAGCCAACTAACTAACTCATAAAATATTACTCGCAACACCTCAGATGCTAACCGTTGTGCTCGCTAACCTATCCTGGTTAACAAACTACCGTAACTACCGGGAACTCTCCAGGGCCGGGAGGTAAACTTGTGATACGGTGGAGTGATCACTGAAAGGACAGACAGGCAGTACAGCGAAATCATGGCAGTGTGTGGTTGAGCCATTGACAACCGTCTGTTGAATGTTACAATAAAATCCTCTGTCGAGGTGTATTTGAATGTCTTGGAAATACAACAATGGCAGAACATGTCGGTGATAGTAAAAGTGCTGTAGAGCAATCGGAGAGAAAGAATGAAACATCGTCGCCGGCGAGCATCGGACATAGGTAGTGGAATTATTAAGTGATTTATTACGGTTATACTTATACTGATTATTGTAAGTAGAAATGCGATTTTTAATTTACTGAAGTGGAATCAGCGATATAATTCCAGTGTTATTACAAGTTGTACGTATGCGATTTGTCAGTACAATTATCGATAAGTTGTATAGTGAAATACTAAAACCCGTGGCAGACTGTGGTTTTTGAGTCAATGCCTCACCGAGTTAAACAAAAAACAAAAACTCCTTCAGGGCCAGACACTTGTCACTTCAACAGTTATTAACTAAGAGTTTATGTACTTTAGAACAACAGTCTTTGGGTTTCAGAACTAAAATATAGGAATAAGGAACATGATAAGTTAACCTTTTGGGCTATCTTCTGAATAACGGGCACATATTATGGCGGCCAAAAACAGGGCCTCAGTCACATGTAAATTGCGAACTTCCGGCTACCTAATTTGCGGTCTTCCGGCGACTACCGCCACTGCCGAGAGTATCTCCCATGCCGCGTGGAGTGGACGGGACTCACGAGCAAAGCTGCAGGTGATGCGGAAGCTGCTGCTTGTGAGTCCCAGCCATCTAGTTTAGGTGGTAGTCGCGGGAAGTTCGCAAATTAAGTCGCGGAAGTTCGCAATTGACATGTGACTGAGGCCCTGTTAGGGTGTTTTTGCGGCCACCATAATATGTGCCCGTTTTTCGGAGGAGAGCCACCTTTTGTCTTGGATCACAAAAATGACCCCTGTTAGAATTCCAGAAAACTATAAAAATAGCAGGTTTTCACACGTCACTAATAGATTCTTTAAAAATGTGTTTATCTACATTAACGGTTTTTTCAAAATATATAAAGATATATAAAAGAAGTAATCAGTAAATATTAACAGGGTAAAATATTAAATGGAATACATCCCTGGGGCCTAAAAAAGCATGCAAAGCTACAAAAACATGTTTCGGGTGACCCAGCAGTAACCTCAATCACTAAGGCTTATGTGAAAATCAGATGTCAGCTTGACTTTAAAAAAGCCATTTAGTTTGAAATGAAAACCCTACTAAATGCTATTAAAAGTTAACGTAATCATATCCTGACATAAGCATTTTGCACAGGGGCAAACTCAGCCAATAGCTCTAACTATACCTAAACAGGTCACTGTACCCAAGTTTGAAAGTGTCATTTATGGGAAATTGAACCCAACTGAAGCAAATTTTGTGTGTGTGTGTGTTGAGGTGAAAGGGTTTAAGTAGCTACTGCTGTAGACTGATAGACATAACAGAAGAAGTTAGCCAGTGTATACCACATATAGAGTAATAAAAAAACATTTGATGAGTAGACTGATTTAACATAACAGAAGAAGTTAGCAAGTGTATACAGAGTATAGAGTAATCAATAAACATGTGGTGAGTAGACTGATGGAACATAACAGAAGAAGTTAACAAGTGTATACAGCGTATAGAGTAATCAATAAACATGTGAGTTGACTGATGGAACATAACAGAAGAAGTTAACAAGTGTATACAGCGTATAGAGTAATCAATAAACATGAGGTGAGTTGACTGATTGAACATAAAAGAAGAAGTTAGCAAGTGTGTACCACATATAGAGTAATCAAAAACATGAGGTGATTTGACTGATTGAACATAACAGAAGAATTTAGCCAGTGTATACCATATATAGAATAATCAATAAATATGTGATGAGTTGACTTATTAAACATAACAGAAGAAGTTAGGAAGTGTATACCATATATAGAGTAATCAGTAAACATGCGATGAGTTGCCTGGTAGAGAGTTCAAAATGACTTTGACTTCCAAAACACGACACAGCCTTAAATTGGTATCTGGTAAAGTTCTGATGTTGACCCTGCCAATCTCAAGCACCAGTTGATCTAAACAAATACGAGTCTGGCACCATATGCCTGATGTGCTACTGGTCAGAGAAAAGTCCTTTACTTTAATAAACAACCTTATAAGAAAATAAAATCAGTTGATCTTTCAGAGAGGTATAAGTTATCCATGGAGGTCTTTTTTCCATGGCACCATACACAACGGTAGACATAATTTTCTCAATGCTGCTGTAATAGACTCTTTATGCTGAGTACCGGTGGCTGTTTAAAAATTTTTTTTTTTTTTTTTAAAGACGCTTTGTAGGAAATAATGGCACCTTTTCTTTTAAAAGATACTTTATAGTGATTACAGGGACTTGTATTTCTAGGAAAATGCCATGCCCCAAATTCCCAGTAACAGAAATAAAAACAAGATAAGTATTTTTATTGTTTTGTTGGTTGATAGAGATAAAGAGTTTGGTCAACATGTTATTGCTTTTTTATGTGTACTTGCTTCCTGGTTGCATTTGTGTTGATTTATTTGATCCTAGTGTCATCTTGACAGTAGTTTCCCCTCCCAGTTGTTGAAAACAGTATGTGTATAGTAAAAGATCATTTTTACACAATACTAGACACATATTGACCGAAATATCCGCCCTTGATTAATAGCATGCATATGATGTTCTTAAAATAGTCTTTTAAGCCAGTTACATTTGAAGAGTTAATTGGTAAGATCCTTATATATAAAGTTTGTGTGTGCTAACATTCAAATTAATATTTAAGAGCTAAATTGGTGTCGAGAAAGTGATAATTGTTCACACTTTTATCAGTTAAGAAATGGGTCACTTAGCAGTTTAGGTGCATTGTGTGTGCGCAAGGAGAGACAAATTTTAGATGCTGATCAAATAAAGGATATCTTTTTTTTAATGTTTTTTATACAAATTCTGCAGCTTCTAATTTCTTATAAAGTAAGGTAATTCGAGAAGGGGAAGTAAGTTTTAATGATGCAAATTTCCCATTTCTGGACCAGGAGTTTAAAGGTAAAAAAAAAAACCCCAGCTACGGAGCTGCGTGCTTGCTGTGACATTGTGAGCTGTGCATTTCATGTGTAATATGTTTTCCTTTTATACCTGCAGCGTGTTGTAGCTAGCTTTTGTCATCGACTCTTTGTCTCAACATTGAGCTGCAGTTCTGACGTGGGACCAATAATGTTGGCACATCTGACAGCTGCCTTGTGCGTTTTTACTTTACTTATGCAAACTTCATGATTTTGCTGGGGCTGAAAAGTTTTTCCTCTAGTTTTTGTTTAGTGAAAGACATTTTGTGTGATTTCCTTGCCTCTATTTAGTAGGGGTCACGGCCTGAAAAAGGTTTGCAATCACTAGACTAAAGGAATGTTCACAAGTTAGGATTACTGATTACTGTCTCATCACTGTGTTATTGCATATCCAACAGGCATACTATGTCAGGGATTTCCCTGGACACAACTGTCCGTCGCAAAACCTATGTCAAAGACTTTTGTGTGGCCACACCAGAGGAGTTTGTGAAGTGTTTTGGGGGAAGTATCACCATCAACAAGGTAGGCCATCAGTTCTTCTAAACCAAGTAGTTAGTATATTGATCTATCTTATATGATGGTAAAAGATTCTCAACTTTCCTAAGGCAGAGACAGGCAATTAAGAAATTTTACTGGCTATTAACTTTGGAAGGCAGTCCTTGTTGTTTGTCTACTTCTGGACTTTAGTCCTGTTCCAGAACTTGAGTTTTGCATGCACATTCCTTTCACAGATTTGGCTTTTTTGTATGTAGACTGTTGGTTCCTTGCCTGCCTGACATTCACTGTGACTTTGAAGGAAATATAACCAGTTATTAAACTTTTATGAATTCGCGTTTAGGGGGCAGTGGATGTTCTTTTTTTTTTTGGGGCCCCACAGTGGGGCCCCGGAACCCACATGAGAGGAGCAAGTAAGTAGAATGAAGGATATGCTTCCACAGTTTGAGGTGTATTAAGCATATGATGATAGTACCATATTTGTCTAGATCATTGGACACTGAATGGGTGATGTGGTCAGCACCATGCAGATCTCCCATAATTCCCATAACAGTTCCTTGTAACCATTATTATTAAAGAAACAAAGGAACTGTGGAATGGAGGGTGTCTAAAAGAAACCCTAAAACGAATGTGGATGAGAGAGGCTAAAAGTGCTGGACTGGATACCGTTCATGATATTGAAGGGATTGCGTAGAATAACTGTAATTAGGGAATAGACTGCGAACCCTGTGTGATGTATAATAACACAACAGGGCATGATGGGTTTTTTTTAGAAGCTAGAAGCCCCTATATCAGTGGCTCTCGACCTTCCTGATGCTGTGACTCTTAAATACAGTTCCCTCATGTTGTGGCGGCCCCCAGACAATTTTTTCTGATGGTCTTAGGCGACCCATGCGAAAGGGTCGCGACCGGCAGGTTGAGAACAGCTGCTCTAAGTAAATATCAGAAATCGGTGTGGATCAGAATTCAAACCCATGGACAATGGTCCGTCAGAAAACCACCCTAGCATCTTTGTTACTGCAATGCCCAAGCTTGTGTTTAAAAAAAAAAAATCTGGACCTTTGACAGAATAATCTAAGCAGACATCAGTGTTTCTCCTTCTTCGTGTTCACCGGCTGTAAACTGGCTAAAAGTTCTGGTTGTTCATCCACCTCTGGACATTGGTCGTATTTCAGAACCTGAGTGTTGTGTGCAGGTCCGTTTTCCAGATCTGACACATTTGTATGCAGATTATTGGTTCCCTGCCTCTCAGGAAGATGCACTCCACCTTCGAAGGAAATTCCCAGTTAGTCGACTCTTATGAAAAGCTTATTGGGGAGGTAGTGGGTCTATTCTTGTTTTTCCTAGGGTGGGATCATGGAACCCACACAGGGACCAGATCAATATTTGTATGACACACTCTTAATTTGTCTTACTCGGTAGTAGAGAGGTTTTGTATTCAGTGACAGAGTCTAAAAGGGGTACTAGACAGTTGTATTGAAGTAAAAGCAGCTTGCAGGAGATTGACCACATTAGCTGTCAAGTACCAGTTGGTCTAGAAGTTAGAGCAGAACCACATAGCCAGCATGCTTCAGGGCATTGCAGACAGTTGTGTCATTTGGTGCAATTTATTTTACTGAGATCCATATGGATGGTCACTGGAGCTACGGTGTTTTTGTACCTTTGATGATTTGGCAGGAGGCCAGTCATTCTACAGAGAGGGAGAGAGAGAGACAGCCTCATGGTATAGAATCTGGTGCAGTTAAGTCAGTCCTTTCGACTTTAATCTTTAACTTTCTCTCCTCTTCCCCCTCTCTCCTTCTCTGTCTGTCTCTCTCTCTCTCTCTCTCTCTCTCTCTCTCTCTATATATATATATATATATATATATATATATATATATATATATTTATACAGTGCATTTTTGTTTTATCAACCTGTGCAGTCTTGACCTTAGTGCTGTTTTCTGTCCACATTTAGGTTCTGATTGCCAATAATGGAATTGCAGCAGTCAAGTGCATGCGGTCAGTCCGCAGATGGGCATATGAAATGTTCCGAAATGAAAGGGCAATTAAATTTGTTGTCATGGTTACCCCAGAAGACCTGAAAGCAAATGCAGGTAAAATACTGTTTATTAAAAAACACATACAAATACTTAGTTTGCATGTGCGAGCTTCAAACATTTGCTGGGACTGACATGTTTTTTCATTAGCTATTAAAAAGATCAGTGAAGAACATTTTGTGTGATTTCCACTGGCACAGAAATGGAGCTAGTTATGTGGCAACCTGTCTGCAGTGGAGTTGGAGCCTCAACTAGCCATGTTTAAATTATGTGGAGTAATTTGTTAACAATTCTGTTTCCAGTGATTTGATGTGTGTATTGTCAGTTGTGACAGTCCCTTTTAGTGGTTTGGAATGCAGTTTCACAATAACAGCATATCTGGTTTCAGATTTGGCAGACCGCTTTGCATCGAATTTGACAAAGTTATGAGCATCATACTGTCAAGATTTTAATGAAAAATTAATGAACATAATATTAATTATAAAACCAATAAATCATGGGCATTTTCTATTGTGAATTACAGATAGGTAGAAGATGTAGAGGTCGATATCTACTACGATATAAAGGACATGAATGATACATGTATTGAGGTTGATTCGTGGGAACAAAATGCTGTGGGAAGAATGAGGGCTGACAAGAAACACACTAAATACAAATGATGGCAACAGTTGTCCTGAAATCCCATGCTATAATCGTAGAAGACTTTTCTTAACGCGGGCCGGTCTTGCTAGTCACACTCGCCATCGCCATGGGTTGTGAGTCTCATGCCTCATCATAGCACAATATAACTCTGGCATCTGGAAAGCCAAAAAAAGTGCCAGCAAACATCTGCAGTGTTGGTGAATTTATGCTGTCAGGGCTTATTTTAGGAACAATATACGTTGAGGCCCAAATATTTTCCTCAGTGTGACTCTCATAGTACTGTCCAGAAAAACAAGAGAGTGGCTTTTCAAACCAGCCACCATGGAAATTGAACCCTAGTACCAGAGGATCATCAAATTGTTATGCATTCATTGGCCTCTTAAGCCATGGCTATTTATCTGACAGCCCACAGGCCAGATTTGGCCCACTGAGGCCCAACAAGTGGCATGCAGATCATTGCCAGTTGTATTGCATTAATGATCTTTCAACTTTGGGGGCTTGGACCTCTGGCCCATCATGATCCCCATTGTCCTGAGTGAACTTAGTTGAATAGTCCTGCCTCAAGCCGTGCAGCCACAAGTTGAGTAGCCCTGTCTCAAGCCGTGCAGCCACAAGTTGAATAGCCCTGTCTCAAGCCGTGCAGCCACAAGTTGAATGCCCTGCCTCAAGCCGTGCAGCCAGAAGTTGAATAGCTCTGTCTCAAGCCGTGCAGCCAGAAGTTGAATAGCCCTGCCTCAAGCCGTGCTGCCAGAAGTTGAATAGCCCTGTCTCAAGCCATGCAGCCAGAAGTTGAATAGCTCTGTCTCAAGCCGTGCAGCCAGAAGTTGAATGGCCCTGTCTCAAGCCGTGCAGCCAGAAGTTGAATAGCCCTGTCTCAAGCCGTGCAGCCAGAAGTTGAATAGCCCTGCCTCAAACCGTGCAGCCACACATTGTTGTTATAAGGTTTTTCCCACTGTGTGACCTATCCATTGCCAGGAATTTAAATACTCAAAATCTTTCAGAGGATTCACATTTGACCAGCTGTTTTTCGCGGTGCCTATTGTATGTTTAAAAGAATGTTGTTTTAGTTGAAGTGTTGTATCTTTATATCTTGTGTTAATTTGTCTAGAGTACATTCGTATGGCTGATCAGTACGTGCCTGTGCCAGGAGGCAGCAACAACAACAACTATGCCAATGTGGAACTCATCCTAGACATTGCCAAAAGGATTCCCGTGCAGGCTGTCTGGGCAGGCTGGGGCCATGCATCAGAGAATCCAAAACTTCCTGAGCTCTTGCACAAGAATGGAATTGAGTTCATAGGTATGTGATTTATTTAAAATTAGATTGTTTAATGGAACTGAGTTCATAGGTATGTGATTTATTTAAAATTAGATTGTTTAAGGGTATTGAGTTCTTAAGTGTGTGGTGATGTTCATCCTAGCTGTTTATAAGAAAAGAGTTATACTGAGGAAGGTGTGTGTGTGAATGTAAATATGAAAAAAAAAATGTGTTCTAGCCCGTGTCTGGGTCCGCCAGGGAAACAAAGAATAGGGACATTGTAACAACTATGCATGTTTAAAGGTGTGACCAGGCAGGGTTGTCATACATGAGAGAGGGAGATGCTAAACTACACCAAGAGAACCGAAAAAATGGTTCACCCATGTGTCAAGACTATCACCAGGTAGTGTTCCACAGAGAGCCCTGTCACTTAGTCACAGTGGAAGCAGTTTCAGAGATCAACCACTCAAGTGATGGATAGATAGAATATCCAAGGTCATAAATACCAGTATCCATGGAGCACATACCAAGGCTCGCAGCCGATACCTGTTCAAAACGTGATACTGAAAGGCAGAACAAGACTAGAGATGAAGAAAAAAGGGGGATTCTTTATACGACAGTGAGAACAAGCTTGTTTTATCAGTCACTAATGATAGATTCACTTAGTTTTTTTATAAATAGAACAATATTTTTTTTTTTTACAATTAGCCATGGTTAAGAGTAATCTGACTGTTGTACACTAACTGTGTTCTTTTCTCACAGGTCCACCAGAAAATGCCATGTGGTCTTTAGGAGACAAGATTGCTTCTTCTATAGTAGCTCAGACTGCTGGTGTTCCAACGCTGCCCTGGAGTGGATCAGGTTTGAACACATTGAGATGTTTATTGTCTAAATGAACTGGAATTTATATTTAATGTCATATTAGAATCCTTAATTACAGAAGATGAAGAATGACATTTACCAGTAAATTTCAAGTCTTCATTAACCTTTGCCTGTGCTGGTAAGACTGAATCACTAATCTGCAACTTACAGAGAGAAGTTAATAAATTCCAGCAAGTGAAGAACCTAGGTAAAGATGCTGTCCTGCGCCTGGTACATTTTGAGGAAACTATTTACAGTGTAACCAGGGCTTTTTCCCAGTGTATGCAACAGTGCACCACAGCATCTGTACATTTCAAACAATTTTTGGGCATCACTTTATCAGCAGTATTTTAACAGACAGTTTGATGAGTACCCATCACCCTCTGTAGACACTTTGTATTGACCTCCCTTTTTAGACACTTTTTGGTTAGTACCAGAAACCTTTTTAGGCATTTCCTGTTGGGTACTGGCACCTTTTTTTTGGGTCTAGAAAAAAAAAGCCCGCCCTGATAGTAACAAAAGAATTTTTTTCTTTGGAACCTTCAAGACAAAAGACATGGGGCCAACACCTCACCCTCACCCCCCTCACCCCCACCCCCAAGATAAAAGAATTAGAGAGACATGAGCAATAAGGACCCTTCTAGAGATAAGAGGCACACAATGATGTCGAAACATTTAGACTAAAATTTTTGGAGAAATTGCCTGGTAAAGTTAACCTGGGAAAATATGTCTAGAAGAATCTGCGCATGTTGGCCGTAAGGTACAGTTAATTTCTTTTCTGCTATAAACAGACTGGAAATCCCATCCTGTGATTACCAATGGTTTGGCCACTTAGTGAAAATGAACCTAACGAAACTGGCAGCAGGAGTACAACAAAAACATGGAAACACCAAAAATCCGAGGAAAACCTAGAAGAGGATGGATTGAAGGAGTTACTGACAGCTTATGACCTTACAGCATCACAGCATACTTGGTAACTGAGGGTGTTCTAGTGTAGCTTTCAGTCATCCTGCAGCACCTGGTGGCACAAAGCAAAAATTGTTAAAAGAAGAAGAATTGAACCCAAAAAAAAATCTCATAAAATGAAGAATCAGAAATTGGAGAAAACAAAAATTTTGAAATATGTTTTAGTTTTTTAAGCCTACATTGTGTCACGTGGTATTTGTAAAAAAATATTTTAGAGGGCATTGCCTTAAAATGTTTTTATTTAATTAAACAAATATGCTTTCATTGATATTTAAAAATGATCTCTTTTGATGCATAATTTCATATTACTTAATGATAATTTCATTTAATGGATTTATAATGTTCAGTATTATTACATTTTTGTTCCTAAGAAAATGTATTTGAATCATTGTCATGTTTTTGTTAATTATACTTATCTTCATTTTAAGTTTTAAAAAGTTAGTTGTGTGTCCTTTACGGGATCTTGCAGCTCCAACCATGGCATTTTTGGCTGTTTGTCATTTCAGTAGTTTTCCATTGCTTACTAAACAGTTGGTTGTGAATACCACTGTTAAAACAAAAACAAGGTGTGTACTGCAAATTTGCCCGCTGCTGGTAACAAACCTGCCACCAAGGAGTTAGGAGGCGGGTTCGCAACACCTAAGCCAAACACGCTGACTATCCTCATATAGAACAGATATTTAAGTGACAATTTAAGAATTATTGTATTTAATACTGTACACAATTATTCCATTATGTTGACACAGGTCTGGTTCTGGGTCCATATGACATCAAAGGAAAGTCTCTGATAGTGCCTTCAGACCTCTATCGTAAGGGCTGCACATCTGATGCAGAAGAAGGCTTAGAAGGTGCAAAGAAGATCGGTTTTCCAGTGATGATTAAAGCCTCTGAAGGTGGAGGTGGGAAAGGTATCCGAAAAGCTGAAAATGCTGAGGAGTTCCCTAACTTATTTAGACAGGTATGGCATAATTTTGTATTGTACTCTCTCTATGTTTGTATCATTATTGATCCTTTTTAGGGCATATCAAAAGAACAAATGGATCAATGGCAAAAGAGACAGAGTGAATATTAAATTCAGAATTGACACAACACTCATGACACCCCCCATTAGCACTTCATCTCTGTCTTCAGCATCTAGCGCAGAGTCCCGGTTCTGATGGCACTAGTAACAATATGATTGTATAACCGTCTTTCCTAGTGAGTGCAGTGATTTCAGTCACATGTGTGAGGGGAAAGTTTAAGGCCATTGTCTTGTGTATAAGGAGATACTCCGTACCTCACCTTGGGCGCCATCTTGCTCTTTGCTAGCTTTACAGATCCTCAAGCAAGACTTCTGCCACACGCTTCGTGCAGTACAGATATTGGCAGGTATCAGTCCAACCAAGCTGGCAGACGTGGCCACTAGAGAGGCAGTGTCCAGTTGTAATGAATGGGTTTTGTCTTTCTACTCGTTGTCTAGGCGGTGTTCATGCGTGTGTGCTGGATGATATTATCACACGCTTCACGTTACACACCTGGCACAAGCCGACACCGATGTGAGCTTACGAGACATTACTTTATTGACGTATTACAACTTACGACAAACAGAATCGTCCAGTCGATGTCTAATTGAACCGCTTTCGTACACAAACTCACGCAGCCTTTTAACGAACAGTCTTCTGCAGGCATTCAAGCAACGATGGGTCCCATGGATTCAACACTGACGTTTGGACATCTCACACGCTGGCATGGTTGATCTCAGCTTAACATTTCGTCGGCAGGTCTCCTTTCTCCTCAGGCACTCACGTAGACATTCGCACATTCAGACGCTCGTCCTCTCGCTCCAACAGGTCGACACAAACTAAACTTGACCAGAGTCAAGTCTGACTTATACCACGGGTTCCTTTCACGTGACAACACGTGGTGGTCCTTTACTTTTCCCGTGGCGACCTTGGGTCGCATCACCGTGGTCCCCGTGATAAACTAGTGGTTAGTCACCTATCTCCAGATTCTCGTTTAATCCAAGTATCTGGACTTTCTCGGTGTTTTCGGTCAGCTTTGGGCCTTCCCCCCAACCATCCTAAACTGGGTCGAAAATATCCCCCATTACATTCTCCCTTCCCCGTATAAAAAAAAAGTTTACTTTTTTTTTTTCCTCATTATCGTTAATGGATAGGAGTATATTTTATGTAATGCTTGGGTATTTTCACTGGTATCATGGGTAAAAATTTATTCCACCCCTTTTGGGTAATTCATGTTTTCCCTTTGGAACTTTTATCAGTTGTGATGCCCAGTGAGTATTATGTGGCGTAATGGAATCAACACCCCAGGCAATACTCTTTCAATTGCGGAAGACCATAAAGGCTCTACGCGTTTCCCACCTCATCCCACAGTCTGTCAAACGACAGAAAATCACCCCAGGCACTACTCTTCCAAGTGCGGAAATCCATAACGGCTATGGAACAATAATGTAAACCCGTAAAGTCCCACCCTTGCCACTATACTCACTGAACATCCACTGATGTTATTTCCATTGGATATTCATTTATTTCCCCTTATAGGTGATATGGATTTTATCTCCCCTACCTATAGTGATTTCCCAACAGTCTTTATTACATTTCTAATAATTATCTCCCTTTACGTTTTCAAAAATATTACAATGTATCACTTAAATTTCCTGTATACATTTCAATTATAGAGTGATATTATATATTCAAAACATTAAATAGCATATTTCATCGTCACAACTTTGCATTATCAATTTTGAAATATTGTTTACATTTTATATTTAATAAATATTCATATCTAATTCTAAACTATTTCGTCACGTCACCTTATGTCTATGTCCAGTATTCGTCACAATGACATGATATATACAATTTATACAAAATATATATACATATATAAAAATCATAGTGTCGATCAACAATAACATTTCATACATACTAGAATAAGACTTACAATCTTGACATTACATCAGGCAGGTGATTGTGGATGCCTTTGATGTGCTGTATTTTAAATTTAAACTGTGCAATCAATAGAGCCCATCTGTACACTCTAGCGTTATTTGTTGACTCCATGGTCATCAACTTAGTAAGACCTAAATTGTCAGTTAAGATAGTGAATTCTTTCCCTAACAAGTATTTTTGAAATTTCTTCAGACTCAGAACTAATGCTAATGCTTCTTTCTCAAATGTGCTGTACTTCTGCTGTGTAGATGTTAGTTTCTGTGACCAATATAAAACTGGTAAATAATGTCTGCATCTGTACAAGATTCATTTTAGATCTGCAATAGTTTGATGATTGTCGTCACATATTTTAAAATATTGTTTCAAAATGTTGACATGATTCATTTTACAACATAGATTTTACTCAATTCTGTAATTCATCAGTAATAAGTACTTTTGTACTAGATGTATGCTGCAAGGTGGTATTCACATTCACCAACCGTCAAACAAGTCATCTGATTAAAATTTATGGCAAATTAAAACTGGTTTCAACAATTCAAAGTTTCAGAATGAGGAAAGTGTTTGAAATAGACCTGATCAAAAAGTAATAGTTTCAGAATCACTAATGCTAATAGTGTACCACATTTCAGAATTTGACAAATTTCTGTAGAGATATCTAATTTTGAGATGAAAAAACCTCTGCGAACTGGATAGATCATTCCTAAAAGTTGTAGATCATGAATCATGTTGAAAGTATAGAATAGTTGTAAATTCATTTCACCTGTTACAAATAGAAATTGGCATATGATGAATATTATGTGTTGCAGTAACCACACGTACTGGAACAAACGCTGTGAGCAGTTGTCTTGCTGTGCTCGACTTAGGTCTCTTGGTTGGGGATTACCTTTGGTTGCCAAGCCAACTGTTCTAGCTCTTTTTTCCTCTTCTGGTTCCAAAAACCTGTAAGACTTTTTATTACAAGTACATTGAATAAAACTGTTAATTTTACAGTCGTGTATTTCTTGACTTTGGTTTTGCTCATTGATGCTCAGAGTTTTCTTTTTAAAATACATTTTCCTCTGTTTTTTCTTTACATGTTCTTGCATACTGGGTTTGGGAGTTGGATACATGTCTTTCATACTATTACCCTTCTTTCTTTCAGTCTTTTCATTGCTTTTTCTCATCATTTGTTCTGCAGTCATACTTGTCATTACTCTCTCGTGTATACCTTTTACTTTCTCACTTTTTGTTATGTTCTGGACACTTCCAGTCTCTATGCTTTCATTCAAGTCATTCATACTATTATTTTCATTCCAACATCCATCTTTCATTTCTTCCACAGTGGATGTGGGGTTTGGAGTCACATCATTTACTCCTTTGCTCTCATTCTGTTGTTTTTCTCTCATTAATTTCACACTTGATGTGAGGATTGGAGTCACATCATTCACCCTATTCTCTTTGATGACTGGTATGTTTTCTGCCTCCCATTTAGTGATGTCTTCTTCTGATACCTTTTCTAGGTCTTCTCTGTTACCTATAATCAAATCTGCACTCGGTGATGGTAACATGGCAACATAAATATTCTTTGTTAAAAATGGTGTTGACACACAAATGTAACCTAGTCTGTATGTTTCTATTGTTCCACCAAAAGTTCTACATTTTATAAACTTCTGTGTCAATTCTTCTGGTCTCACTAACGCCTGGCGAATTCCTGATATCGTAGCGCCGCTATCTCTCAGGACTGATACGGTTCGTCCATGCACCATACCTTTGTGTAGTGTTAAACTACCTTGGTCATGTGCCGCTGTGCTGGCATCTTGGATTGGTACTTGGTGACCGCATGGTAGGCTACCCTCGGCTTGAAATTCTGAACAGACAAAGCAGTTATCATTAATGTAACAAACTTCAACAGCATTACCCTCGTACGTATCTGACCCCGAGTCTTCATCAGACAACCCATATGCCACGTGTGCTTCTTTGATCTGTCGCTTAAAAGCACATTGATTACGTACATGGCCATAACATAAACAAGAAAAACATTTCAATACTCTATCGTAGTCACTGAGCTTGTTTTTTCTCTTGGCAATAAGCTCCTGAACCCTCATTGCGTATGCGGGGTTCTTATCGCAAATAGCGTCTGAACCATGTTGTCTGTTGCAATGACTACAGTTGATTGTGTTAACTTTCTTCCTGTTGTATCTCTTGTCTTTCAATGGGTATCTTCCCTGCTGAGGTTTTTGATATGCTGCAGCTCCTGACTCAATGACATCGTTCACTGTTGAACTAAAAATGTCTGGATGGGCATTATAATAACCTTCTCCAAGTTGCTTAATCTGTTCTAGATTTACAGGTGTTCTTTTTATTAAAGATGTGGCCATTTTTTCCGGAATCGATTCTAGAATTTTGCTCCTTATTAATAGGTCTACTAAAGATTGGTAGTCATTTCGAACTTTCGCTGCATCAACCCATTTTTGAAACGTGTTTTGCACTTCAGCAAGGTAATCTACAAACGTTTGATTACTCCTGGGCTTTAATCCAACGTATTGTTTTCTATAGCCCATTGCATTGAGTTTATAATGGTTCATGAGGTATTCCTTCATATGATCGTAATCCATTTTCTCTAATTCTGGTATTGATTCCAACACTTTAAGTGGCTCAAATCCCAAATGTTTCTGGAAAATCATTGCATAGTCTTCCTTGTTAACTTTGTTCATCCGCATTTGAAGCTCAAAGTTCGTTACATAAGCTGATATATCCTCATTTTCACAGAAGTTCCGTACTATGCCAGTGTATTTCTTAAACCTTTTTTCCTCGGCGTGTAATCTTTCTTTCTCCAATGCTGCTTCCCTTCTGGATTCATTTTCCATTTCTTGTCTTTTTAACTGTGTCTCTGCTTTCTCTTTGTCTGAGTTAATCTGTGCTGTCAACCTCTCTTGTTCCAGCTGTAACCTCTTCTCTTCCATCTCTTTTTGTTGAGCTAATTCTTTATCTTTATTTTCTTTCTGCAGTAGTAGTTCCTTCTCTCGAAGTA